CACGGACCCATCTGGAACCTTCTGGCAATGCAATGCAAAGGCAATTGGATCAGGTTCAGAAGGAGCTGATAGCTCCTTGCAGGAGCAGTACAACAAGGTATGGTTCAAGATAAATGCTAAGCCTTGAAGGAGCTGATAGCTCATTTTGCAGGAGCTAATATCTTTCCATTCTGTCTGACATTCCCAGTGTATTTGGAACAACAAGGCCTTTAACATTCTTTTTGGTTGTGATCTGGATACCTCTTTTTAGTTAGAAAATTGTAGAAAATCCGTACTAGTTGAACTTGCGGACCGTGTTCATCTCGACTAGCATATTCTCTACCGAGCGGTAATGGACGTCAAGGAGGAGCTTTGATTCTACGAGGGAGAGCGGCAACGGTCGTGGAAGACCGTGTTCCCTTCCTCGTAGAATCGGAGCTCTTCCTTGGCCAAGTACGGTGCTGTCCGGTGAAGAAATGCTCGCCCAGATGATCACGTAAGCAAGGTCAACTAGTACGGATGGGAGGATATATTTATGGACAAAATTACATGTTTGTTGTGAATGATTGGCATGCCAGTCTAGTGCCAGTGTATGTTGTGGATCTACTCATCTGAATCCTACATGCCTATACCTTTATTTTGCAGTGCATGCCACATTACTTTAACATTCTTTGATTCTTTTTTCATGTATGTTCAACTTCATCTGCGTATACATTATTGTTGGCAGTTCTAAGGAGCTTATTAGTTCTTTAACACTTAGTCAACTTATTCTGGTGATTCTAGTTCTTAGTAGTTAGTCCATCAGCTGCATACTCTGAACCATCATTTTATTCCAAACCAGAAACGCATGTTGTCGCATTGAAGAATTGTAAATTTAATTTTTTTTGACAGAAAAATGATTTGTAGGGGCGGTTGGTACTGTAGCCGCCCCTACAAATCGATTTGTAAGGGCGGCTGGTGTTCCCAGACCGCCCCTATAAATCGATTTGTAGGGGCGGCTACAGTATCAACCGCCCCTACAAATAGATTTGTAGGGGCAGCTAAAAACAACAGCCGCCCCTAGAAATCGATTTGTAGGGGCGGCCTGGGAACCGCCCCTACAAATATATGATTTGTAGAGACCCTTACGTAGGGGCGGCTGAGCAAACCGTCCCTACAGAGCCTCTGGAGCCGCCTCTAAAAATCCTTTTTTGTAGTAGTGAAGGACGAAGGACGACATCCACGAGTGTTGTTGCCGTAGGTACGAAACGTGGCCGTATTCCATACCTTTGTTCTAGTTCTCGTTCCTGATTTTCATTCTTGAGCATGACGCCGGCACTGTTCCTTCGACGACGAACGGCGCTGCATCATCCACGTCGAATCCTTTCCGGCCCAAAACCAGCGGAGAGCAAACATCGCTGATGACGTGTTAGAAGTAAAAGAACTAGGGACAATGAAGTGATGCAAATGATGTCCGTGTATTCCCAATAAACAGTGTACATATATACATGGCCCATATGGGTGGTTACAAGTGTGAAAGAGAGAGGGGTGAAAAGACACCCCTTGGAATAATCCATAATTGAGCACTAAATAATAATTCTCAACAATGATAATGTACTACTACTTCAATTTTTTTAATATTCTATTTTTATATAAAAGGTGGAGTAGTTTTTGTGAAAATATTGAAGTAAGTTAGAAGAGATGTCGAAACTAGTATTTCCAAATGTTGGCTTGATTTAAACATTTTGCACACAAATGTTGACTTAATTAAGTGTTTCAAAATATTGAATGAAGTCATTCAAAATGTCGGAACAAGTATTTAAAAATGAAGAAAAAATGCAGCATTAAAAATTAAACCCAGGAAAATCGAATGTGCTTTCTTAGTCATGATATTGGAAAATAAAAGAATAATAAAAACTAAAGGAAAAAAACTGAGCCAGGCGGCGGCAGCCCTGTGCACAATAGCATTTGCGTTGTCAGGCATCTCAAGCTCATGCATTTGAAGCAAGACCCATTGGAGCTTTTACGTTTTATTTTACATAGGCTGACCCACACATGCATCGGAATGGCAGACCAGGCCACCGGGCCAATACCGCGCAGGTCGCGCGCTACGCGGGTAGCGCGACCGGCAGCGCAATAACTTTTGCGATAAGTTTGGGCACCTTCATGATCTGCGCATTGAAGCCGGGTGTTCTTATGTAAATACGGGAAGCCTTTTTTATATGGTGTTTTAATAATTGTGCAAAATTGTCTTCATGAAACAAAAATAATCTCACGTATGACATAGGTAGGCATAAACCCTACATCCTCAATTCTAAATTATAATTCGCTTTAATTTATCCAAAATTATACTTCATTCCTAACTTTGAGCAAGTCTTTTAGAGGAATATATTAGCATGTATAGTTCAAATGAATGCCTCACCTAGACATATTTTATACCCCATCCGTTCTAAATTGTAAGTCGTTCTAATTTTTTTTAGATGTGTAGCTTTTACTATGCTCCTAGTATACGCTATGTCCAGATGCATAGTATAAAAGCTACGAAACCTAAAAAAGGTAGAATGACTTAAAATTCGGAATAGGGGGAGTAGATAAGTTAATCAAAATAATTTGGTATTATAGATCTTGATGCATTTTTCTATCAATTAGAAAAGTTTAACTTGATTTAAAGGACAACAATGATACCTATTTGTACAGTAAATGAGAGGCCCTACGGTGCGGAGCACAATGTTGATCCAGTACGGATGAGTGTAGAACCACGTGGATAGATAGTTGAGAGCAGCAGCAAGTTAATTAGTAGTCACAAAAATGTAACGGGTCATTTTGAAAAATTTCTATTGTTTTTTTTTCACAAGAATGCACTAGTCCCTCGTATTTACGATGCTGCTGCTATTCCTTTTTCCGTTGAACTGGTTCGTACCACCAATGACGTCACAAATGCAACGGAACTACTCCTACACAACCACGAGGGAAAAGTACATGGAGAGAATCTTCCGCTGTACTATGTGGCAGACTGGCGTGCATGCATGATCATCCCGTGCGGCACCGCGGCGTGCAGGAACAAAAATATTCCTTCGTCTCCGTCCTCCCTGTGACGCCGTCACGCCGACGACGTTCGATCTGTGGTGTGGTGTGGTGTGACGCCGTGACGCTCACCGGCCGACTGACGTCAGCGTGGATGGGCAACCGCTCAGCATAACCCCCCCATCGGTCATGTCGCTAGGCCGGCCGGCCACCGCCATGATCGTCGACTCCGGCCGCCGGCACGGTCATCGGCAGCCTCCCGTCGATGGAGGCCTACGAGACCGACCCTGCTGTCGGCGTCCCGGACGACGCCCATGCATGCATGGCGGGCGTCACCGGTGGGGCACATCGACACCTGACCCTGCTACAACTTCACTGGGTACGCTAACGAGTCACGGTGTGCGAGTGCACGACTGTCGTCGACCTCGACATGCCAATAAGCCATTGGAGAATCTGGCGTTCTTGAAGGCGAGCAGTCAGTCCCTGGGAAACGTGAGCCACCAGCCCACGTGGACTACTCGAGTAAAGACGTTGTTGTGATTGCTGAAGCTTGTTGGATAATTAAGTTGGTTAATTCGCTGTACAAATTTGTTTCAAAAAATTCGCTGTACACATTGGTCGATAAATCCATGAACCACAGGTTTGTGATGGTGCACACACACTGACACATTCTTCAGAAAATTACATGCTTGTTTTGTATATATGTACCGGCTTCCACACACATTCTTCCAAATTCGATGTAATTTGCTTTGTGTCATTTTCGGGGCGGGTTGTCGGATTTTATAGATCGATGGGTGTTTTTCCACTACAACTTTCGACGAGTTTTGGAAGGCACTCATATTTCCATCGCCCACGTTTCCATTCCAAAAACATTTGCAGGGAGGACATGTTAACGCCAAAAGCTATGTGGCGCGACACTATTTATCCGTTAAATACAACACACACATCATCATCATCATAATAATAATAATAATAATAATAATAATAATAATAATAATAATAATAATAATAATAATCTAAATGCTTCTTACTGCACGCACGTGCCGAGAGGCTTCACTATGCACGCACTAGAAGACAAAAATTGCATGCGAACTCACCTGCCGGTTGCCGCCACCGCTGAAGATGAAGCAGGCCGTGGTGTTAGGGTTCGGGGTTTTGGGGTTTCCATGCTCTTCAGCTTAGAAGGGAGCTTCCATGGAGGATGTCGGACCAGCGGCGGGAGTGGTCAAGATAGCGGCGGGGGCGCCGCCCGCGGGGCATTGGGAGAGGGCGACGGTGCCGGCGGGGAGGGTGACAACCGGAGAAGAAGAAGAGGCTAAGATTAGCGTGGCAGCGGTGGAAGGGTGACAGAGGAGGTGGGGGGCACCGCTGGAGCAAGGGAGGGGGTCGAGGCCGGGACGCTCGCGCCGAATCTGAAGTAGAGGGCTCGGGTTAGGGTTGGCCATGATCGAGGGCGGAGGCGATGTGGACGTTGCCGGAGCCGGGCATGGTGAGGAGGCGATGGGGAGCGCAGGAGAAAGAAGAGAAGGTGCACAAGGAAGAAGAGAAGGCGCACGTGAAAGGAGGTGTGCATGCGGATTTTGCGCCTGTATGCGGGCTGTAGTAAGGTCCTAATAATAATACTTTCTTTTGCCGCAAAGCAAATTCCATTTACGGGTACCAAATTATTGCTTCCTCCTATAGTTATTGGTGAACTGAGGATTACACCCATATATTCTTATGAAATATTTCTAAGTTGATAGGTAATGTATTGATTGGAGTTGGAGCTTACTTGGGTTAGGCGGTTAGGCCTGCAAAGGCCCATCATGGCCCAGGTAATGAACGGAATTTTCGTGAAGATGGCCGAGCACGTAACCGTTATTTTGTATAAATTGCCATCCTGCCCTCCCATTTTCCACCGAATCGCTAGGCCACCACCAAATCACCCCAAACCCCACCGCCACCCTCTCGCCTCAACAGCCCCAGCGTGGGTCTCCCTCTCCCTCGCTGCGGGAAGCCAAGCGCACCAGCGAGCGCCGATGGAGAGGCCTTGGCTGATCCTACGCCGCGTACTCGACGTCGGCCCGCCCGGCTTGCACGCGTACGCGGAGGAGCACGCCGTGGTTGTCCAAGCCGAGGCGGACGCGCAGGCGCAGGAGGAGCAGCACGCCGGGGTCGAGGAAGCCGAGGAGCACGACGTCGCAGCCGAGGACGCGGCGGTGGAAGCGCAGGCGCAGCACGACGCGGTCGCCGAAGCCGAGGCGGACGCGCAGGCGCAGGAGGAGGAGCACGCCGCGGTCGCCGAAGACCAAGCCGAGGAGGACGCGCAGGCGCAGGAGGAGCAGCACGCCGGGGTCGAGGAAGCCGAGGAGCACGACGCCGCGGCCGAGGACGCGGCGATAGAGGTGCAGATACAGCTGGAGGAGAGCGTCGTGAACGTGAACACGGACGCAGTGGCGTCGGAGTTGGCGCACGCGGCCATGGACGCGGGCGCACCCGACTTCACCATCACGGTCGCGCGGCCGCCGTGGGTCTCCTCCCTCTTCGCGGGCCTCCATTCCCACCCCGCCCCGGCGAGACCCGACATGTACCCCTACATCATCGCCACCGGGCGCTTCTGCCTCCTCGTCCACTTCGCCATCGCGCCCTCCTACGGCACCAACTTCGACCAGGAACCCGAGCACAGCCACCTCGTCGTGGTGCGCCACTTCCTCAGGGACGACGACGGTGCCGAGATCGATGCGTGCGCCGTGCCTGTACCCGACCGCCCCTTCGACGACTTTGTCAACTTGCCCGCCCTAAGCAACATCGAGAGCGTCGGCCTCGTCTGCTACCAAGAAACAGGTCACTACCAGATCGCCGAGCTCATCGTTACCACGGGTGCTCCACAAGCCGTTGTCGTCTACATAAGAACGGACACCGGCGTCTGGCTGGATAACCTCTTGGATCTCCCCTTGGCGATGGACCCCCGCCGGGATTGGGTACCCCACGGCACAGTCACCATCAACAGCACGGTCTTGTGGTACGACCTCTCGTGGGGGATCATCAGCTGCGACCTCGCCCAACCGCCCCAGCTGCAGGTGCTGAACTTCCACCGCCTCCCGCCTGGTCGTGTCCTCCGCACCGGATCCCTACCGGACCTCCACTGCAGGCGCTGCATCGCTGTAAGCGAGAACTTGGTGCGGTACGTGGAGATCATCCTCAGCCCCCACGGCCACGGAGCGGCGACGGTGAACATGTGGTATCGAGACGTGGAGGACAATCCATGGCGATGGGAAATGAACTATACGGAAAGCTTCGAGGACATCTGGGACCACGAAAGCTACGCCCAGACCGAGCTGCCGCCGAACCCTCCCATGCTCGTGGGCGTCTCCCCGGTGAACTCCAATGTGGTCTACTTCTCCCTGAACCAGCGACTCTTCGGCGTCAATGTGCCTGAGCACACGGTGGTGGACTGTGAGCAATATGAGCCGCTGAACAGGCCAGGGCCTGACGACGAGCCGGTCACAAGTCGCTACCTCATCACTTGGAACCTGGACGCGGATGGAGGTAACACAACTTGGAACCACGTTTGATTCTACTGTGCCTGCTTGTTTCATCCAGTTGTGTTGCCGCTATTCAGATATCATGCATGCAAGTGATTCCTGCTGCTGGATTAGATGTTTATCTGCTGCTTGCTTGTGTTCTGCAGTTACATGCTCCAAATGTCAATGTACAGATCGAATTGCCTGATCAATTTTTCTGCATGTAGTATATTAGGATCAGCATGCATGTGTCCTTTGAGTTTCTTGAACTTCTTAGTACTGCATTCCCTGTTTTATAGGAGGTTGGCCAAGGGAAGTACACATCTCATGTAATTGTGTTTCATGGTGACATGGTTTGTGAATTAGTTTTAGAAAGATGTCTCCCAGGATGCCTTTAAAGTTATAAATCTGTTTGAGTTTGCATGATGATGCAGAATGCAGTTGTCTACTTATCTTGCTTCATTTGGATACATGACCATAATCTAGTTTTCGCTTCCTTACTAAAATCAGACTCAATTGCTAACCAAGTTATTTCCATTTCTCTGTTTCTGATCCTTATTGACAGAAAATGTATTTCATCATCTTGTATTAGCTGAACTAGTTGAAGTTACACATTCGACAAAGGTAGCAATAGAGCATGCACTTCATATTAGGGGCGATCTTGTTCTCATGAGTGCTTTATCAACCATTTAATGTTTCTGTGGTGATTCTCTGTTGACTAGTAGTGGTATCCATTTTTTTCTGTGAACGCAGTTTGAGATCACATTTCCGTCAATACAAATAACTTGATTGTGCCAATACTTGAACTGATGTTAGGAGGCTCTGATTATTCCATAACTGATGTTAGGAGTGATCCCCACCTGACTGTATTACGTGAAGAGTAATAAGTTTTGCCTGGGCACCCTACAAATGCAGATAGTTTGCATAGAGATTTACAAGCTCAGTTACAATTGCATTTTGAATTGCTTCTTGAAACAGTGATTATCCCATAAATAGGATGTTCCATTATTGCATACTGGTATTGAAATGAAATTACTCTTTCACCTTGTCGCAGCAGAGTTACTGGGTTCATCTAACTTCATTCTTTATAATCAGTCTTTTCTTACATGGAGGATTTCTTTTTTCCTATGGAAAAGTGACACTTGTATGACATATACTGCATCGACCTTTTACAGATTTTCTCTTGGCAATTTTGTATCGATCAGTATCAGTGTCAATTGATGTCAGAAACTAGATTCGGCTGGTTAATAGTTTTCCTAGCAAGTACTTGTGCATTATTTTTGCATAACCAGTTCACACACAAGAGCAGTCATAGCAGAGTAACAAGACAAACCTCCAATCGCATTAATTTAACGTCGTTGTGATAAGAACTGTGTAAATAGTTTGGTGCTCTCCCACTCACCATTGTCTGACTACCATTTCTTCTGTGAAGCAGCACCAAACGTTGGGCATCACCCAGATGAACCTTCAGACCATGGGGATTCAAGCGCTAGTGGACCGGTGGACGAAGGGGAGATCGACTACGAGACACCGCCGGAATGATATGCAGCGAGTTTTGACTTCCAAATCTGAGCTCACCGAGGAGGAAGCTAATGGTGGACATGAGCGATGGTAGTTCTTAGCCATGGGAAACTTGGTCAGGACGACCGAGAAGAAGGGATATGAACTGCTCCGTGTTTTGTTTGTACATGTTTTCTTCTGGAGATGTTATAGAAGCTGAGGCTTAACGTGATGGATGGGATAGACTAATTGAAACATTTTGGCTGCCATAATCTGATGGGTTTCTTCTATTCTCTTACTGCCTGTCAATTTGTTTTTTCTCTGAATTTTCGTCCTGACTGCATTTGTTTTGAACCCAGTTTGAATCTTACATATCCAAATGTCTTACTGGCTGCATTCTTGTAAAAAATGTCTTAGTGGCTGCATTCTCAGAGGGGAACTGCTCCAGTATGTTTCCGATTTTGTTTTTCCATGGTTACTGGATTCTTGCTCAAAACTACAGCAGACTTGTTATCCACCAACAGTTTTACCTCAGGCACCTTCCTTCCAAGCATTTCACTGAGTAGTCTACTAAGCCAAATGCCCTGAATGCTGCATTTGCACTTGCAATATATTCAGCTTCACATGATGAGGGCACAAATACCCTTTGCTTCTGAGATGCCCTAGTGACCAGACTGCCTCCATAGAAAAATACAGACCCACCTGTAGTTTTGCGATCATCAACATCCCCAGCAAGATCACTGTCACTGAACCCCACAAGTGCTGGTTCAGAAATCTCTGATCTCCTATAGCTGCACCCATAATTCACAGTACCAGCTATGTAATGCAGGATTTGCTTGACTACTGACCAGTGCCTTGCTCTTGGAGCTTCCATGATCATCCATGTATCTGCTCACTATGCCCACTGAATATGCAATGTCTGGTCTTGTGTTGACCAAGTATCTCATCATACTCCTGTATTTTGTGGCATCCACAGGGGCACTGTCATCTTTCTTGCTTAATTTCAGTCTATTCTCCATGCACCCTTTTGTTCCAGCTTGTTCAAGGATCTTCAGTGCGTATGAGTTCTGACAAAGAGTTGTCACTCCTTCCTTTTGTTCTACCTGAATACCCAGGTAGTAGCTCAATAGCCCAAGATCACTCATGCTGAAATTGTCAATCATCTGCCTTTTGATTGAACTCCTAGATGTCAGCCTTGCTTGGTCTAGTGATAGTCAGATCATCAACATATACACCGACTAGCAGGAAATTGTCACCAGCACCACGCCTGTATGGCTGTATACAGCATGTTCCAGTGGTGAGAATGGCGTGGTGGTGAAGCGCTTGATGCCGTGCTCGCTGCAGTACGCCTCGATCACTCGAGTGAGTTGAACTCACCCGCGATCGCGGCGGAACGCACGAAGCCGCCCGCCATGCTCAGTTTCTGCAAAGGCCTTGACACGCTTGAAGCACTTGAAGGCTTCATCTTTCGTCACCAGCAACTCCACCCCACATGAACCGGCTATGATCATCAACAATTAGCTACAAATAATTCTTAGCGCCTGGTGTTTTTGGACGAATTTCGGAATTTGGCCACATAAATCTGCATGGAACAAATCCAGTGGCTGCTCTCCTCGATAACTTGCGCTCGGAATGGGCGGCGTCTGCGCGGGTCGTCGCCGCGGTTCATCGCTGCGGGCGGAATGGGCGGCGGGGCGAGCTGGTTCTGGTTGAGGCGGATGAGGGGAGGAAGGCACGGCGACGATCGGGCGTGGTGATGATGACTGGCGAAGCCGTGAAGGGGAATGGCCGGGTTGGGCACGGAGGAGGGCGGAGCAGGTTGGTTACGCCGCCGGGCGCCAGCTGGACTGGGTGGAACCCACCAGGCCGGAGGGCGGCGTGGGTGAGATTCGAGAGGCATATGTCCACGTCGGAAGAAGGCCAGCCCCACCATCAGCGGTCCCACATGTCAGTGTTACTGGTGTAGGTGGCCTGGCACGGGTGACGAGGGCCACCGACCTACCGTCGCCTTCAAATCCCCCGCCTCGGAGGCTCGGGGCCGGCGCCCAAAACAGTAACCGTCGCAACAAACACCTGCTCTTCTCTTCCCCTCCCCCTCCTCCCCTCGCAGTCGCAGCCCACGCTCGCTCTACGCCGCCGCGCACGACACTCCACCACCACCGGCGACCGACCCGTGAAGGAGATCTTCCCCGACGGCGCGCCCGTGCGGCTGCGGAGCCGCGCGTGCGACCTCTTCCTCTACTCCGACGAGGACGGGGTCGGCGTCTCCCTGAGCCCGCTCCGCGCGTCGCCGAGGACGTCCTGGGAGGTGCGCCATGGCGCCGCCTACGTCCTCCTCCAGAGCACCGCCGACGGGCGGTACCTCGACATCTCCCTCGACCCCGCGCCGCCCGGCGCCCGCGGGCTCCGCGCAGTGCAGAGCGAGATGATCGGTGTCGTGTGGAGCGCCCGTTTGGCGGGCAACGGCGGCAGCGACGTCCTCGTCCGCCACTCCGTCCACGGGTTACTTTGCCCCCTGGGATGCGCCGCCGGAGTGGGGGTCCGCCAGCGCGTGAACGGGCGGAGCGTGCTGGAGCGTGGAGCCCGCGCCCGTCGCACCGCCGCCGCCAGTCATTCCTCCGGTGAGTTGGCCATCCATTCCCTCCTGCCCTTCTTGTTTCGTCTTCGGGTTGATTGAATGAACGCCAGGCCGGGTTCTTGATGCAATTGGAACGCCGGCCAATTCTGCGCTTATATTATCGAAATAGCACTGAACTTATCCAATGGGGATGCGGGGTTATTCTTGAACGCGTTTACTGGGCAGTACGTACTACGTTATTGCCATCGGTTATGCGATAATCGTGAATCTTTCATTTGACCTGGCTGCCTTGCAGAGCCCCGCCATGGAGGAGGCGCGCGGCGGCGCCGACCAGAACGGCCTGGTGCTCAGCGGGGCTCCACGAGACGGGTTCACGCCTCCAAAGCCGCATAGCGTTATCAGGCAATCCACAAAAGGCGCAGTTGGGGCAGATCATCATTAGCTTCATCTGCAAAACGGGGAGAAGAAGCTTCTGTATGCTGTTGTAGTAATACAGTATTGAGCCTGCTCTTAAGCTCAAGAACAATCTTCATGTAGTTCGAAATAAAAAAATAGAAAATATATAGTTATTACTCTCTCCGTTCCAAAAGGAGTGTCGCTATGGGGTTGATATCCGTTAAATTTTCTTAAATTTGAATGGGGTCGTAGAAAATATTATCAACATTTATATCTCCGAAAAAAAGTTCATCATGAAAATGTATCCAACAATTCATCTATTGATACTACTTATGCACCATTTTCTTATATATATATATATATATATATATATATATATATATATATTTGGTCCAAGTTGAAAATATTTGACCACTTAAAAAACGAGAATGACACTCCTTCAGGGATAGAAGGAGTACATGGATATATTAGGACGTCGGCTTAATAATCGAATCAAAAGCGTCATTACTAAGAACTTCGTCTTAGGCCTCGTTGTATTTCGGCCTAGTCTCTCTCTTTCAAGAAAGAATTCGATTCTCACTTTGTGAGGAGCCAAACAGTTTTAAGTTTGATAAAATCTAAAAAAAAGTTATATTTATAATATCAATTAAGTACCATTAAAATAATCAAGTAATGTATTGTAATATATAATTGGTGTCATAAACGTTAATAATATTTTGTAAAAACTTAGTTAAATTTAAGCAAGTTTAACTTATTCTAAATCTAGCCTTTTTTGTGTGTGTGTGTGGGGGGGCAGTATCGTGAAAGGAGAAATGTACTATTCATATAAAATGTTGCTTTAAAAACCTTACGCATGACGCAAACATCCAAAAAGAAGCATCATCTATGAAGTCAAATGTTGAACAGCCTGTCTTCGTCCTAAGGAGACGGATGGCAGTAATCTAAAAAAATGGATACATGTGCTCAGGCGACCGATTGGTGCGCGCATTTTTATCTAATCCGATTCAACGCTTCCGGTGCTTGTTGTTTGTTTGTGCTTCACACTTCCACCAACCTTGTGCATGCTCGTTGGCAACCAATTAGTCTGCCACAGATGTTTTGCTACTTAAGCCTGCAATTTACTAAACGAGACTTAATAATTGGCAGCATGTGCAGGAGAGACAGATATCACAGGCACTGACAGCACACTAGCTTGTACAGGACAGTTCCAACTCTAAAAACGTAGATGTACAGGACAGTCGTTCCAACTCTAAAAACGCAGATCCAGATCTTTAGCTTCACTATAGAACAGCTTCACGATGGATTCGGGATACCACTATGGTGCTAAGGGGCATGTTTGGCTTGCAGAGCGGTTCTAGATCTAGAAATTGATTGTTTTGGTGAAAATTATCACTTATGCCCTTAGGTTGCGTTAGATATAATAATTGAAGCTAGAACGGTTAGGCGTTCTATAGAACCTTCCACCGTTAGATATAATAATTGAAGCTAGAACAGCCTTTGGCAGCCCCATCTGCAGATAAATTGTAATCACAGCATGTTGTACTATATATATGGATCTCGAGGAATGGACTTATCTTTGACAACAAACCTTGCAACATTCATAGCTGGAAATTTTTCTTCAAGGAAGAACTTGGATTGGTGCGTCAAAGTCAAGCCTACCTGTCAGTGTTACCCGAGACGATGATTGGAGGGCTTCGGCGAGAGTGGAGCTTGACGGTGCACGTGAAGACAGCGATTTATACTGGTTCAGGCCGCTTGAATAGCATAATACCCTAGTCCAATTGGACGTGTTGCCTTGCGTTGGGTTGTTGCATATGATGTGTTGTCTTTGCCGATCTAGGGAGCCCTGCCCTCCTTTATATAGTCCATGAGGCAAATTTTCTAGTCGGTTACAATATAGAGTCCTAGTAGGATTACAAGTTAGCAATTCTATTAAGATTACATATGAGGAATCCTAGTCGGACTAGATCATTTCCCTTCTTTGTGGAGTACCCACACTAACATTGAAGGACCACTCAGGATTTGGAAGGAGAATCTAGCCTAGCTGTCTTTCTATTTTTTATTTGTGATGTACACTCTCTGTTATGTACACCTCGTGCATTTGTAAACCTCTCTTTTTAATAATCACTACTACATAAAATCTATTGTGAGGTGATACCCTTTTACTAACCAAGGCATTTGCAAAAACCAACCACCTCGGTTAATGCCTGGGATTAACCAAGGCGGTCACAATTAACCATCTCGCAAAATCGATTTACGGAGGTGGTTAAAAAATAACCGCCTCCTAAAATCCATTAACGGAAATGACCCCATTTTCAGAGACGGGACACTTATAAGGCCCGCCTCTCTTAATGTACCCGAGCCCACTCACAGTCCATCTGGGCCCAACAGCAACGTCACAGTATATATATGAGATAAAACCCTAGCCCGTCTTCAATCCCTCACCCATCTCTCTCTCAGCACCTCCCCACCCTCTCCCTCACTCATCTCACTCGAGCATGAGCCTCCCTCTCCCTCTCCCTCACCCGAGTGGATCTGGAGGACGGGGAGGTGGAGCTCGCGGGCGCCGCGGCCTGGCCTCGCGGTGGCACGTATGCGGCCTCGCGGGTGCGGCGGCCCGGCGGCGCAGCCTCGCGGGCGCGGTGGGCTGTAGTGGAGCTCCTCCTCCACAGGCGCAGTGGCCTATGGTGGAGCGATGGCCTCGCGGGCGCGGCGGCCTGTGGTGGAGCTCCTTGATGGTGTAGCGGCAAGCGGATCCAGTAGCGGTGGAGCAGCGAGTGGATCCGGTGGTGGAGCGGCCGGATCTGGCTGCCCGTGCTCCCAGCGGCGGATCCAGTGGTGGTGTGACCGGATCCGGTAGCGGAGTCGCGGCGCGGGACTCGGCCCTTCTCCGGCGGTGGCGAGTGCTCAAATCCAGCGAGCGGCAGCGGCGGCGGCCCATGGATGGGCTCGCTGGGCTTGTCCACGGGTTTCTTTTTTTTGTTTTTATTTGATTTACCGAGGCGGGCATTTGAACCACCTCGGGAAAGATTTATTTATCGTGACCTTTAGACCGAGGCGGTTGTGATGCCCGCCTCGGTTAAATTTATAGTAGTTGTGAATACCAAAAAAATAGGTGGGGAATTTCCCCATTGACTTGTCAAACTTCCATTGCAATCTAGTTCCAAGCAACAGCAAGGCCGGTGGTGGCCAACTCATCTGGTGGCATTAACTTCCTAGTGGAACTGTCTGATAAAGTTGCATATCGGTTATGCCAAGCAAAGTCTGAATCTTCACTATTATGCTCACGAATGAAATTGTGAAGAACCATACAGACAACAACAATGCAAGAACCATTTTTTTGCTTCCACATCGGGTAGTTGGGCATCTTGTATAGAATTTGCCACTTCATTTTCAATACTCTAAAAGATCGCTCAATAATATATCGAATAGATGAGTGAATGTGGCAGAATTTTGACTTTGGATTTTTCTGGTTCCATACGTCTATGCCACTCCGTCATGTGATACTACCACTCACCCTTATAAGAGCTAAATAACTAGGGCGATTAGGATAAACCGCATCGACAACATAGTATTTACCTACAAATGTTGGATAAAAGCTCATGTACAACGATAGTAAATGACCAAAAAAGGAATTGTTCACATAGCTCTGGTTTGCCATGTTGCCACATATGTGAACCGCATGTCAAAATCATAAACTGCTAAGACATTTTGGGTGGGTATCCATGTTTTCCCAATTTACCTCACGTGCTCAATGGGCGGAAGAGAAACACGCATATGTGTGCCATCAAGTAATCCAGTGCAATCTTTAAAATGTGGGTATGCTCGTCTATCATTTCTTATTCTCCTATGAACCATTGAAAATAAGGATCTTTTTGGCCTAATGAAATATTTTTCCATCTCCATGAAAGAGTTAAGAATCTCATAGAATTTCCTATTAGTGGTTTCACTAGAGTGTTTGAATTGATTTTGAACCTTCCTATTCGACTCATTTCCAGCACATGAATATGAACATTCCTAGGCACTCTTAAGTAGTCATGTGCAAACGTGGTTGTAACTTGTACCCCTGGTTGATGCTCGATCGAGACAGGCCGACTACATGGCGTAGCACGCCGTGATCGGCCTTCCTGACGTCGGGGACCTGGAGGCGAGGCTCCACGACCTGGGCGGAGGCGGCAGGCCGCTGACGACGTCGTCCGTCTCGGTCTCGCTGCACCCGGGACGCTCTGGCAGAACCTGCAGGGGCGCGTCGGGCCCGGGCAGCGCTGCTCTGCATCGCCACGAGCGGGGGTGTTCCTCCCGCTCCGCCTCGAGGGAGGTGGACCAGCCGCCGGTGGGGAGGTACGCCTCAATTCTTTTTTCTAACGCAATTCATATTGTTTCGGTAGCCGTGACTAGAAGAAATTTTTAGTAGGATTCAGGTTCAGAGTGTTTCAGTAGTATTATTCATGTTCTGCAATGCACATGTGTGGATATTTTTCAGTAAAATTTGCAAGGCGCTCTCACTTTTTGTGGTTAATAAATTGGAGTTTGTATCGCAAAATGCTCTTTGAGTTGAGAGGATTGGTCGAATTGCACAAGTTTTCTTAACTGTACTGCGTAGTTTCAGTGGTGTGGGATATAAAGAATGTATTCTCCTCTTTGCAGTATTTGACACTCATCTATGAATTTTTTTCTGTTTGGTGGGATACAAAGTATCATTAGATATCAAATATGGCTCCCACATCGTCTCCCACGTCGCGACAGGACCACGACCTCGACCGGGCTTATCTGCGATTGGGGAGGATGAAACCGTCTTCGAGTTTTTTGGCCAGCTTTGGGCCATCGACTCCCCACCACCGCCGGCCGCACCTAGGGTTCCGCCCGCCACCAACCACCCCAACTCTGGCCAGCTCTTCTGGATTCGGAAGGATCTCGTGGTGCAGAAGAGTTTCACACCAGCTGATTGTTTCCCGGTGCGGAGATCTGATCGCATTGAGAAGCCGCTGGTGAATATC